TTTCATGCACGAATCTTTAGGATTGAAAGTTATAACAATTATTTCTCACTCATGATTATATCATTTTGTAACGTTTTTCTTTTTTGATTCTCATTAAAAATATTTCATCTTTTTATATCCTGTTAATTTGATACTTAATTTTTCACATCTTTAAATTTTGTAATTAATTTTTATTATCAATTATTATTACTACATGCAATAATGTACCAAGTGCTTAAGTTTTATCATTATTGCATCGGCTCTTTTAGCAATTTAATTTTGATTTACATTTTAAAGAGTCCAGTTATTTTTAATTTTTGTTTTGTTTTTCGCTCTGTATTGTTTTGTCTTTTTTTCTATTTATTTTTATTTATTTTTTTCTGCTTTTTAATGAAAAATCTATTTTGGGGAAAATAGGTAAAATTATTTTGTAATAAAAAAATGTGAACGTAATCAAGAAGAATGATTGGATTTATTGGGCAAGTGCATGTTGAAACGTTGTAATGATTGAATTCTTGGTTTCTTTTCAAGTGATATAATCAGTTATCAACCTTTCATGTCTTTGATAGCAAATATTGTTGATCAATCACTATATGTTGATCTTCAGATAACGAATAAACAGCGAAAAAGTTTCATTTTTAAATTTGCAAAAATCTTTTCTGTGCAGTTTAGAATATTAGATTTTTTATTCATAAAATTTTTATCTTGGGTTTTAAAAGGAATTTTTGAATTGATAACGAAGAAAAAGATCCAATTCAATGTTGAATTAAATAAAATTTGTTTTCTGCCAAAACAGTTTTTTAATGTTATTGTAATTTTACATTTATTATTATTATAAGAAAATAATTAGTATATAAAATTAACAGAATTTTCTATTATGTAAATAATTAATTTTACGGAATTATATTCGATAATAAACTTTTTTTTAAATTTGTTATAATCGGAATTCTTTAAGAAAGAAGTATAAAATATATTTTTCCATTAAGATTAAGAAGAAAAAAATTTCTGAATTCTGTAAATGACTCATTCAGATACATTAAAATTCATTTATATTTTTATGTTTTAAAATTTCTTTTCTCTGTATATTATACAAAACATTTCAATTGCATTTTAATTTTTATTGTGTCTGTTTTTGCTCATATGTTTATAGTAAATTTTCAATCGTAAAGATTCGATATTTTTTCCTCCCCCCTTCTTTTTTTATTAAAATAAAAAGAGAGCATAGTTATAATAGCAATGAAATTTAATGTTGGAAAAAATTTCTTTTTCTCTAACAATAAAAAGTCATTGAATTGACAATATTTATTATTACGATTCTTTAAAAGATAAATGTGTGAAGTATCTTTTTTTAAACCACATTATCATTCTTAATGATTATTTTTCCATCATTATTATTCCGTACTATTTTTACTGTTTCTGTTGACATTCGCAAATGAAAAATCAGTTTTTAGTTCAATTGTTCGTTAATTTAAATTATAGTCTCGGTGAAGAATTTGATGATAATTTTTGTCTAGTGGTATTTTTAATTGGTTTTTTAGACGTAGTTTTAAATTGTATTTTCGTTTTTTTTTATTTTAGATTTTATTAATAGGGATTCCTATAGGTAGTTTTACCTATTTAGGGTCAGTTGGGGTAAATGTAAACGGAATATCTATTTTTCACGAAAAACATTAGTTTTTTTTGTTAAAAGGTAAAACGGACGGATTTCTTTTGCATGAACTTGTTACTAGAGTTCCCTAGAAAAATTTGATGAAATACAAAAAAATATTGATGCACCTGAATCGCCTAAAACTGACTGCTTACATTTACATTTCTTTTTTGCATTAAAAAATAACTTACACTATGGCATTGCCAATTGTCAAAATAAAATATTGGCAATACTCAGAACATCTTGTAGGTGAGCTGAGGTAAAAATATTGACGTCGTACTTATTTTTTAATTTGTAAATTTAGCTGAAACATCTACTGTTTACATTTACCCCTTGTTTACATTTACCCCAAATGACCCTATTCCTATTAGAGGTAGTTTTTATGAATAGTGGTTTCTATCTAGTAGTATAGTATCTTTCAAAAGTTGCTCTTATCAGAGGTAATATTCATTAATAGTGGTTACTATAAATGGTAGTTTTAAGGTACTTATCTAAAGTGGTTTTTACTAATATAGTACTTTTTATAATTTTACTATCAGGGGTAGTTTTTTAAAGTATCGGTTTTTATCAGTGGTAGTTTTTACAAATAGTGGTTACAATCTTTAGAAGTTTTTACTAATAATAGTTCTTATCAATAGTATAGTCATTACTAATAATTGTTTACATCATTGGTAGTTTTTATAAACAGTAGTAATTATCCATGGTAGTATATATCAATAGAATTTCCTAATAATGGTAGTTCTTATAAATTGTCCTTTCAATTTATGTCAGTTTTTATTAATAGTAGTTACGAATAGTAGTTTCTATAATAATTATTTTCTATCTATGATAGTTTTTAAAAATAGTAATTTCTATTAATGGTAGTTTTTAAAAATAATAGTTTCTATTCATTGTAGCTTTAAAAACTTGTAGTTTAAAGAATAGTAGTTTTTGTCAATGGAATTTTTGAAAAATAATAGTTTCTATCCATTGTATCTTTAAAAAATGGTAGTTTATACCAATAATTATTTAAGTCATTAGTAATTTTTATAAATTTTAGTCTATATTCATTGTAAATTTTACTGATCGTAGTTTCTTTCATAAGTAGCTTCTATCTATGTAGTTTATGTAAATAGTATATTCAGTAGTTAATGTTTACAATTATGGTAATTGCAATTATTGGTTTTTTTTTAAATATTTTTTTTAGGTGGTTCTATAATTGGAAATTTACTTATTGTTTGCGGTAATTTCTTTGGATGATTCATTTTATATATTTAATTTTGATAATGGTAGTGAAGTATAGGTGGTTTCTGTCAATGTTAGTTTTCGGTTAAGTAATTTTTTTATCGATTGTAGTTTCAATGAATTGTCTTTTTTATATCAATGGTAGTTTTAATTATTGTTTTAAATTACATCAATTGTGTTTATTAGTATCAATTGACATTACTCGTAATAGTTAGATTCACTAGTAGTAATTTTTACTCGTAATAAGTTTCTTGAAGTAATCGACTTCATTTGTTGTAATTAAGTTACTGGTAGTGAATATTCTTACTCGTAGTAATTATTTTTACTAGTAGTGATTAAATTTACTTGTAATTAAGTTTCTAGTACACGGAAAAAATAAATTCTGTAAGAATTCCTGAATTTGTTCCATAATTAAGGATTTGTGCAAAGTTCCAGAAATTTTTAGAAATTCAATGTAAGTATATCTGAATCGTTCCGAACTAATTACGAAACGGTTTTTGTGAGACTTTCAAAATCAGCATTGCAAATAAATTCCTGGAGAAATACAGGACTGGTCTATAATATTATCGAAATTTTGTAGTAGAAATTATATTTCTTCTAAAATAGTATTTACAAGCGTCTAAACAAGGAGAACTCCAGTTTGAATTTTATAATAATTCCCGAACTTCATCGAAAGAAAAGATGTGCCGACCCCGTTTCTCACAAGCGCTGAATAAAAGTAAAATCTAGTATATAAGAGACTTCCCAGGTCCCTACAACCAGCGTGCGATTCAATGCGTCGTGTATTTGCGTTTATTTGTGTATAAATTATGTGTGCGTTAGAATACATGTAGGTAGCTATAAGTGTATTATGTATGTATGTATCACTGCAAAAAATGGCGTCTCAAAATAAGACGTTTAGACGTTTATAAACGTCTTATGTAAATAAGCGTCTTATTTGAGCGTCTTAAATGAAAAACATAACCTCCAAATACATGCATTTTAGAAGGCAAATAAGACGCTTATAAACGTCTTAGAAGTGACCACGTAAACGTCTTAAACCAAGACGTTTTTTTTTTACAGTGTATGTGTGTGTATCCTCCTCAACCAATCACAGTTCGCGTTGCTTGACGAATGTCGATCAAGTATATACGCGTATACACAACTTCTTTTTTTTATTTTCTTTGCTACGGAATTGTTCCGGAACTATTCTGTAGCCCTTATAAGAGCTTCTTCATATATGAAGCGACCCTCTGAATTTTTCCCGAACTCATCGGAAGTTCTACCGTCCAGACTATCTGAAATACTCAGCCGCTACATTTCGTAAAAACTATCACATAAATACCGAGTTCTTACCATATAATTCCTGAATATCTATTTTGAAAGTTCGACATATCTTCCAAATAACAGCTCTATAATAATTACCGACTTTTGCTCATATCCTCAATTTCGGAACGAATTCAGGAACTATTTCCGAATTATTTTTTTCCGTGTAATAATTAACTTCACTTTTAGGAATTAGGTTACTAGTAGTAACTAAGTTAGTATTAGTAACTAAGTTACTAGTAGCAAATAAGTTACTAGTAGATATAAATCACTTGTAGTGATAAACCTTGCTCGTAGTGATTAAATTTACTTGTAGTAATTTGGTTTCTAGTAGTAATTAAACTCACTCAATTAGGTTACTAGTAGTAACTAAATTACTAGTAGTGATTAACTTTATTTGTAGTAATAAAATTACTTGTAGTGATAAACCTTGCTCGTAGTGATTAAATTTACTTGTAGTGATTAGGTTTCTAGTAGTAATTGACTACACTCGTAGCAACTAGGTTATTAGTAGTAACTAAGTTACTAGTAATGATTAAGTTACTTGTAGTGATAAAGCTTACTCGTAGTGATTAAATTTACTTGTAGTAATTAGGTTTCTAGCAGCAATTAGGTTACAAGTAATGATTAACCTTACTAGCAGTGATTAATCTTACTCGTAGTAGTTTCTTTTACTAGTAGTAATTAACCTTAATCCTATATAGTAATTATATTTGCTACCAGTAATTAATTTACTAGTAGTGCTTATGTTTATCAGTAGTGATTAATTTTTGTCCCTAGCAAATGGAACTTGCCTTAAAAAAATGTTAGATTTGAAAAAAAGGAAAATAAAAAAATACGATACCTGCGAGTCCCATGTCAACTTTTTCGTTTCCCAATGTTACGGTGGTAATTTGAAATTTGAATCCCCGTTATCCACTGGGATAATAGACGAGGATGGAAACTTTTTCGAGCGGTTCACTGACACAAAAACGTTTTGCGGACCACACAAAATAGTTATTCGCATACCCTTCACGCGTCATGCGGGATTCACGTTACCAAGCAAAAATAACTTTTAAGACGAGAACTATCTATCTATCTATCAACAACTTAGGAGTAACATTTCAGTTAGACGATTTTTAACTGGCAATATATTTTACTGGTTAGTAGTCCGTGTTTAGAGAGAGAAGAGGTGGGGTGTCGCGGGGGTTGAAACGTGACAACAAGCGCGACATCTATGTGGAGGATTTTTAAATTGGAGAATTTCTCTCTTTTTTTATTTTATTTTATTTACTATAAAAGAATGTGGCACTGGTAAATTTTAAAAGCGTGGGAACAACACTTGTGTGTGAAAGGCACATTTTTCTTTTTTGGTTTTATTTTATATTTTTTTATCTTTTTGGACACTACACAAAAATCAGGTGTGAGTCCTGTGTTTTAAGCGTAAAGAAATGAACACCATTTTTGTAAGAAAAAAAGGGAAAAAATTTTTTTTCTTTTTTTTTTTTTGTCGTTGTGGTTTGCATACCAGACCTCAACGACGGTCTGGTGACGACTGGGAAACAGCTGTAAAACTCGAATATGTTTTGCCCGCGCGGAAAGCAGCACACACCAAGCTGACACCAAGTATCTCTTGTTGTTTCGAGGTGGGGGAAATGAGCTTGTGACTTGAGAAAGAGAATTGGAGAAGTATAGAGAGTACCGAAGAGTCGAAGAATATGTGTGTCTTCTTCGCTTTTTGAAAGTAAATTTGGTGTAACTATTTTTAATTAAATATTTTTTTACTTTGTTTTTTTCTGGTCTTTTGTATACTGCGGTTTTTCTAGAAAATGTGGTGGTTTCTTTTTTTTCGAGAAATTTCCATGCTTTCCTTTTACATGCGGGCACATGGCGAGAAATTCATTCTGATTGGACATCGCGGAGTTAAATTGACAATTAATTTTTTTATTCATAACTATTGGATATTTTTTAATTATTATTATTATTGAGTATTATAAATATTTTTAAGATTACTATTACTATTACTATTATTTTTATTATTACTATTATTGTTTTTTACTATTATATTACAATAATCTTATCACATTTTTTCCAAATGAAACTATTCGGTCGTAAAGGTTATGTTAACTACCCTTGCAAAAAAAAAAATAATTGGATTTGCAAAATATATTCAAACTTTGCACCTTGGAGCGATTTTTTTATATTTAAACTATAAAAAGGGTTCAGGAAAAGTATAAGAATATTAATGAATTTGTTTACTTTATTAAAAAAAAAGACTTTGAGCGTGAAACCTGAATTACTTCTTACGGACATGCGTTTAACCGTCTCGGAAAGTGAAAGAGGTTTACGAAAAAAGGATTAAAAAAGACACGCATTCATACGTGAAAAAAAATCGTTCACTCTAGGGGAAATCACGTGTTTGCTGCATGCTGATATAGATTATAATAATTAATATTATTATATTAATATTATTTTATTTATTACTTCCTCATAGAGGAAGTATTGTAATACCAAAATTTTTCGAGTTCGATTTTTTGACATATCTTTATGTTATTTGACCTCAGGAGTTCAAAAATGACATTTTTAAAAAATGTCATTCCGTATGTGTGTGTTTGTGTGTAAACATCACATTTTCATAAATATCTCGAAATCATGAAGAGCTTCTGGGTTGAATTTTTTTTTAAATTGTAGATCTCACCTGCGGACATAAAGTGAGAGTACTTTGTAATAGATTAATAAAGTTTAACTAAATTTTTTTTTATTCTTAATTTTGCAAAAAAACGTTTTTTGGCCATAACTTTAAAAAAATGTTACGACACCTATAAATGTTTTTCCATAATTTTGTAGAGTTTTTTTAGACGCATCTTTTGAGCCCTAATTCAACATTTTTCGTCCATATTAACCGGAGTTATTAAACTTTTAAAAATCAAAAATTTTGGAAAATAAGACTTTTTTGAAAATTTTGTTAAAAAACGTAGAAGTAATTTTAAAATTATCGTTATCAACTTGTAGAGCATTAAAAAACGCTTCGATTGACCTATTTTTGAACCTAATTTGATAATAAATTTCGAAATTATTGGTATTTTAAAAACCAAAAATTGTGAAAAATGACATTTTCACAACTTTTTTGTTTGAAAATTTTTGTTTAACTATTAAATTATTGTAACTATCTTGTAGGGTATTTAAAAATAAATTGATTGTCTCAAAATTCAATCACTTTTACCATATTTATAAAGAGTTATTCATATATTTCTATTATTTTTATCTCCATGAGGAAGTAAAGTGTTCATGAAATGAGCACCAAAATTATAAAAAAAATATACAACTTGGCAGCGGTTTTTTATTATCATCAATAATAAAACAGTTGCTATCGTTAAATTTATTTTTTCATTTTATTACAAAAGGACATTAATTTCTAAATAAAATATTTAATTTTATTAATCGGGTTAATATTAATATTTTTTTATAATGATAAATTAATTAGGAAAATAATTTTTAATGGAGTGAAAATTTAAAATGAGGGGAGACAATTTTTTGAACACACGTTTTAAAAGTTTTTTTTTATTTTTGCAATTTTTTTTTTTACAAGTTTTAATTATAAATTTTTTTCTAATCTTATCTTATCGGTTTTAACCTTCGTTGCTATGGACTAAAAATGGCAAAACGATGATTTCTTAAAAAATAAATCGCTGAATTATAAATTAAATAATGATTTAAATTTGGATTGCTTACAACATCGCGAATTATTTTGCTATTCGATTAATAATATTACTACTGATAATAGTCATAGTAATGCTAGTAATAGTAGTAATAAAAACAGTTTAATAATAGAAATAATAATAAAAAGAATAGTAGTATTAAAATAGTAATAGGAATAGTAATAGGAGTAGTGATAGAAATAGTAATTGTAATATTAGTAGTAATAAGAATAGTATATAATAGTAATACCAGTAGTAATAGTAATAGTAATACTACCCAATGGGAAATTTACAACTGGCGTAGTACTGCGCCAGCACTGGCAGCACTGGCGGCAAGGCTGAGAGCCAGCACTGGCATGGCACTGGGATGATAACGCCGTCTGGCGCTGCCGAAGTACTGTCTGTCAGTGCTGCCAGACAGCGCTGGCGCAGCACTGGACCAGTGCTGGCTGAGAATAATGCCGCAATAAATGCCGTATTGTTATTAATTAGTCGTAAATTCATAATTATAAATAATTTAACAACAAAATGGTAAATAATATTAATAAATAGTTATTATTCATAAAATATTTCTCTTCTTAAAGAAATTGTATTAAAGATGGAGACTAACAATGGATATAGTAAATGAAGTAGAAAAAAATTGTTTATAACATTTAAAAATTAAATAATAAACAATTACAGTAAGTGTGCATTAGATTTTCATATTTTAGTACCTAACGATTAGAATCTAGAAATATCGCAAACCTATGAAAATAAACAAAATTGCTGACGAGGGGAATTGAACCTACGACCTACGGACTAACAGACTAACGCTCTAACCACTATGCTAACGACACGTGTGTACAGAAAAGTATTAATATCTCAGTATCATTCAGACATACAATTATTGAGTCAAAGATGAGAAAAAAATAGGGATACGTTAGAAGTAATAAATTGAATTAAAATAAATTAAACTAAATTTTTAATAATAGAATTAAATAACTTTACTTATTGAATTTAACATTTTACAAGTGATAATTTTTTAATCATTTTTTATTCATAGTAAGAAGTATAATAGTATTTTAATAGGAACCAAATTATTATTGAGATTAAAGTTTAAATTTTGTTTATAATTTTAATTTGTTTAAATAATTTATTATTTACAAAATTAGACAATTGTGTTAAATTGTTATTATTAAATTTAATAAAAATAAAAAATGAACAACTGAAAAGTAAAATATTAATTTTTTCAATAAATTTATATTTATAAACATTCCTAAACTTTTTTTATAATTTTTTTCAAGTTTATGTCAAAAAAGCAATGTTGGCAAAGAGCGTTGTGAACAATTTTTCTATACTCAGCCAGCACTTGCCGCCGTGGCTTGTCCAAGCTTTGGCGAAACAAAAATTCTGTACTGCGCCAGCACTAATTGTCGAGGCTCGGCTAGACTACGCCGAACAATCGTCTGAGTACTAAGCCAGTGGTGAACATCGGCACTACACTGGCATTTCCCATTGGGAAATGCCGTATTGCTATTAATTAGTCGTAAATTCATAATTATAAATAATTTAACAACAAAATGGTAAATAATATTAATAAATAGTTATTATTCATAAAATATTTCTCTTCTTAAAGAAATTGTATTAAAGATGGAGACTAACAATATGGATATAGTAAATGAAGTAGAAAAAAATTGTTTATAACATTTAAAAATTAAATAATAAACAATTACAGTAAGTGTGCATTAGGTTTTCATATTTTAGTACCTAACGATTGGAATCTAGAAATATCGCAAACCTATGAAAATAAACAAAATTGCTGACTAGGGGAATCGAACCTACGACCTACGGACTAACAGACTAACGCTCTTACCACTATGCTAACGACACGTGTGTGCAATAAAATTTTAATATCTCAGTATCATTCAGACATACAATTATTGAGTCAAAGATGAGAAAAAAATAGGGATACGTTAGAAATAATAAATTGAAATAAAATAAATTAAACTAAATTTTTAAAAATTAAATTAAATTACTTTACTTATTGCATTTAACATTTTACGTAATTCTTAAATTACGTGGTAATTTTTTAATAATTTTTTATTCATAGTAAGAAGTATAATAGTATTTTAATAGGAACCAAATTATTATTGAGATTAAAGTTTAAATTTTGTTTATAATTTTAATTTGTTTAAATAATTTATTATTTACAAAATTAGACAATTGTGTTAAATTGTTATTATTAAATTTAATAAGAATAAAAAATGAACAACTGAAAAGTAAAATATTAATTTTTTTCAATAAATTTATATTTATAAACATTCATAAACTTTTTTTATAATTTTTTTCAAGTTTATGTCAAAAAAGCAATGTTGGCAAAGAGCGTTGTGAACAATTTTTCTATACTCAGCCAGCACTTGCCGCCGTGGCTTGTCCAAGCTTTGGCGAAACAAAAATTCTGTACTGCGCCAGCACTAATTGTCGAGGCTCGGCTAGACTACGCCGAACAATCGTCTGAGTACTAAGCCAGTGGTGAACATCGGCACTACACTGGCATTTCCCATTGGGAAATGCCGTATTGCTATTAATTAGTCGTAAATTCATAATTATAAATAATTTAACAACAAAATGGTAAATAATATTAATAAATAGTTATTATTCATAAAATATTTCTCTTCTTAAAGAAATTGTATTAAAGATGGAGACTAACAATATGGATATAGTAAATGAAGTAGAAAAAAATTGTTTATAACATTTAAAAATTAAATAATAAACAATTACAGTAAGTGTGCATTAGGTTTTCATATTTTAGTACCTAACGATTGGAATCTAGAAATATCGCAAACCTATGAAAATAAACAAAATTGCTGACTAGGGGAATCGAACCTACGACCTACGGACTAACAGACTAACGCTCTTACCACTATGCTAACGACACGTGTGTGCAATAAAATTTTAATATCTCAGTATCATTCAGACATACAATTATTGAGTCAAAGATGAGAAAAAAATAGGGATACGTTAGAAATAATAAATTGAAATAAAATAAATTAAACTAAATTTTTAAAAATTAAATTAAATTACTTTACTTATTGCATTTAACATTTTACGTAATTCTTAAATTACGTGGTAATTTTTTAATAATTTTTTATTCATAGTAAGAAGTATAATAGTATTTTAATAGGAACCAAATTATTATTGAGATTAAAGTTTAAATTTTGTTTATAATTTTAATTTGTTTAAATAATTTATTATTTACAAAA